AGGAGATAGTTGGCAACTTCATGGTGGAGCTGATGGCTTGACTTTTGGACCTGCTGCATTGATTTTTGGGCTGAAGTTTCGCTGCAGTGGGTCCTGGAGGCACCAGAGTTTGGCTGTGGATCAGTGGGTGTGTGTGGATCTCTGCAGGCACGTTTCTTCCGTGAGGATCCGTGTGGCGTCTCACTGTAGCCGCCTTTCAGTGACCAAGGGGATTTTTCCACTCCCACAGCCTGAGCCACTGGCAGGCTTGTGAGGTCCCAAAAGTGCTGCTTGTGGGTTCTGCTCCCAGATGAGTGTTGTTATTCCCAGAGATTTGCTGATGTGTGCAGGAAGGGTTGAGCCATAGTCATAGGAACATCCCTCTGGAGCAGCTGGTGGGAGAACATGCAGGATACGGGCCGGTCTGCGGTCATTTTGCGTCCCTGTAGAAGGAACCGGTTTCCACCAGCTCAGCATTCCAGACTGATCTTGGCCATGCTCTACCCCTCTGAAAGTGCCTTTGCCTTCCCCAGGAGATCGCCCAGCTGAAGGTGGAAGCCAACCAGACGGCCGACGGGGTCCTGGCCCTGGAGAAGGCGGTGGCCGCCCTGCGGCGCGAGGCCAAGGAAGCAAACGACGAGTTTGAGAGGAAGCTCTCGGAGGTTGAGGCGGATGGCGCTGTGATACAGGAGGTGGGTCCCCATCTCCCTTGCCTTGTCCCCCTCCCCTGTTGCCTTTTGGGCTTGACTGCACCTCACAGCTGCTGCCTTTCCTCCTCCAGACAGCTCAGGAAGCTCAGAGGGTCCATGACAAGGCTGGCCAGGCAGGCGTGGCCGTGCAGGAGACACTGAGTGCCCTGGAAGAGCTGCTGCGCCTGATGAGTAGGTTTTGTGGCACCGCTGTGGGAGGTGGATGGAGACAGGTCCCCGCTGGGGTTGAGGGAGTTCAGTGGGAAGCTGGCCTCAGGTGATGCCTGTGGACAGGCTGGGCATCAGGGTGGAGGTGAAGTACCTAGAAAGATGCAGTCCTCAACCTGAATCCACGCTTTCTTATTCCTTGTTTTCCTCCTGTTCCACAGACCAGCCCGGCGCTGTGGATGAGGACGGCCTGGAGCAGCTGGAGAGGAATTTTAGCAAAGCCAAAACCAGAAGCAACCAGCTGAAGGCTGAGATGCGTGAGCTGGAGAAGACGGCCACGCTGCAGAGGAACCGCGTGCAGACGCTGCAGAGCAACATCGATGAGATCCTGGCCGATATAAGGAACCTGGAGGATATCCAGAGGAGTCTTCCTCCAGGCTGCTACAATACAAAAGCCATTGAATTGCCATGAGCAAGCTCTGGAAAGGCTGGAGCGCCTGCTAGGCTGAAGGCAGGAGAGCCTCCTCAAATCTGGCCGGACTGGCTGCCCTTGGCTGTGTTGAACTGATCCCTACCCTCGATTTCGGCGTGGCAGATGAAGTTCAGTGTCACGCTGGCTCTGGAGAGTCCCTGGTTTTTCAAAGTGCTCCGTCCCTCGCTCGTGGGAGGAAGGAGACGCCTGGTTTGTGAAGGTGCTGCTGGCTGAAGAACAGCCCATTCCTACAACATTTCTCTGAGGTGCACGTGGGCGTTGCTTGGTGTCAGCCTTGGGAGTTTGCACAGTTTGGAGCCTGAAGTTTGTGACTGAGTGGTTTTCCACCCTCCACCCCCTGTGGGTCCCCTGTCCTAGTCTGTCACACACAGAACTAGACCCTCTGTCCTTACTTTGGACACTGCCACCACCTCCTCCTCTTCCTCCTCCTCCTCGTGTTCTCAGTGAGGTTTTCCTCCCCATCAGTAGCTCAGCGAGCAGCATGCAGAGACAGATGGGGGAGATGAGTTTTGAGCTGTGGCCCACAGGTGATGCTTCCTGTGGTGTTCTCCTCCCAGCCTGCCCACTCCTCACCTTCTTGGGGCTGGTGCTGACGTGGTTTTGCTGTGGCTTAGAGCTCTGCACTGGTGACCATTTTCACACAGCTGCAGGTCTTCCGTGGTGCTTCTCAATGGGGTGGTTGCTGTTTGCTAAAGGGGAGGGAAAAAAGAGCTTCCAGGTGCCTTTGAGCTCACAGTGACATGCTGGATGGAGGAAGAGGGGATCCCAGGCTAGCAGGGGCTCCTGAGATGGAAAGTCTTTCCTGCTTTACCTGCTCCCTTCAGCCAGGAGGAGTATCCCTACTCCTTCTCCCACACTTCCCAAGTCCCAAAGCCCCTGAGGGATGGCTTTTCTGTCAAAGTTCCTCCTCGGCAAACACAGGTCTCCTTACCACCTCCTTACACGCTCAAGCACAACCTTTCCTTCCAAGACTGGTCCCTTTGGTATCAGGCAGCTCCCTGGGTGTTCCAGAGCCCAGGAGAAGGCAGGGTGATGTCTCCAGGACTCTGTAGGATTGGGGGGCTTTCTCCAGGGGTCTGCAGCCATGAGCTCTCATGTCTGAGAGCCCTGTCCCCTCCCACTGCAGTGTCTGCACCCCGATTTGATGGGTTTAAAAAATATTGAAGATGTCCTGAATGTGTTTCAGTCTCTGTTTTGGTGCTGTCTGTCCCCCCCTCTCTCCCTCCTGTGTGGTGCTGGATGTTTCTCAGAGGCTCAGGTGGTTCTCCACAGGGGTTTCCCGTTGTATATCTGAGCAGAGCTCGGAGGGGCCGAAGCCCCCAGTGCTCCCTTCACCCACCCACGGCTTTTGTCTGGGTCCAGCTCCATTCTGACACCCTCCCACCTTCCTTTAGATGTCACACAGAGGGGAAAAAAGATTCAGGGGGGAAAAATGTTGCTACCCCATTCTAGAAGTCAGCTCTGCTGAAACCCCCCTGACCTGTGTGGTGGTGAAAGAGGAGGCCCTGGAAGGAGGAGGAGGATACTTTGGGGACTCACCCCTCCTTATTTCTGATTCTCTGATAAAAGCAGCATCTATGCTTTTGCTTACTGATATACCAAGTATTATGTCTGCCTTTTACACTTTTATTTAAGTGAGATGTACTCTAGCCCCTGGCATGTCTTCCTTCTGCTGTTGTACTGCCTAGGGACAGGCACTATGGACCTGGCTATTTTTTTCCATGAGTTGGGTTTTTGGAAGGGGATGGGGGTCAGTAAATGGTGAATACTTTTGGCTGGATCTTGCCTCTTGGTTTATTTTCTCAGGCTCCCTGATGTGGGTGGGTTTGGCCACGGGTTATCCCGGCCATTTGCTGTCTTTGTGCTGACTCTGTCTCGGGGCTGTTTTAAAATGACACCAGTCAACATCTTTGTTTTATTTTGTTTATTACATAATTTAAACATTTTGCTGATAAAGTTTTTTTTTTGTTAATGACTGGTTTTTATCATATAGCAACAGAAAAAGGAAAAAAAAAGAAAAATAAAAAGGCTCCAAAATTTTTGACAAAGGTGAAATCGGTGGCATGACAACTTCAACCCCTTTCCCTCCCCCCCTTTATTTATTTTTTTTTCCCCCCAAAGGGCGTTTGAAGTTCATTTCTCTTTCAGCAAATTGCACTGTTTAAAAGTGGAGGCTCAAAGACCCACGAGGCTTCTTCCTACCCCTCCCCTGCACCCTGGAAACCCTGACCCTCACCTCCCTGGCAGTCACATGGATCATCACAGATGATGATTTTTTTTTTCCCCACACTCACCCAAAGCGGTCCCAGAGCTGAAGGGCCCTTACAAACCCCCCCAAATCCCACCCCCCCACCGGTGAGTTTTGCTGAGCTGATACACGAGGGCGCAGGTAAGACTAGTCAGACAGGATATATCATCATCTGCACCACAACACTACGTCTCTAAGCCGTGCCATCCTAACCGTGACCGGGTGGGAAGCATCCCCGTGTCCCATCCCGTGTGCCAGAGGGAGGCAGGGAGGATCAGAGGTGGCTCTAGGACATGACACCTTCCTTCCTTCCTTCTCCATCTCCTTTGTTTTACTTCCCTGTGTCTTTTCCTCGGTGGGAACCCCCTGTCTTTCCTGCCCCGGGAGGTTCAGCCCCTCTGTGTGTGTTGCTGCTGCTTCTCCTCCAGCCGGGAGCTGAGAAACGCGGTGAGGTCTGGCAGGGAACAGGTCGGGAACAGCTTCTGTGTTGGGGTGGAGAGGGAGGGGAGACTGGCAGACTGAATGTGTGATGACAGTGGGTGGAGAGGAGCGCAGTGCCTGGTTACTGATTGCCTCACGGATGAGGTGTCCCACCACCGGCACGTCAGCTCAGGGGGGTGGTGCTGACCAGCCCCAGCTGGCTGAAGACCTCCCTGGAGAAGAGGCATCCCTGTTCTCTGAGTCCCCCACACACTCACCACCCTCTCTGCTTTGGCATCTCCAAATCTCCTCATCCCGTGGGATACGGACGCAACCGCCCGCAGATACCGGAGCAGCTGCTGCTGAGGGACTCGGCTGCTGAATTTAGAACAATTCCCAAACAAACCTCACCATGCAGAGGGAAATCCCTGGCAAGGAAAGGCCTCTTCTGGCCTTTGGGTGAGTCATGTCACCTCTGTCCCTCATGCTTTCCCTCCTGAGAAGTTGTCAGCTCCTGTTCCTAAAACGCTGCCTGCTGCAAGGACCCTGTGGCTGTGGCCTGCCTTGTTTTGTCCAAAGCTGTTTGCTGTTCCAGGGGTGCCAGCAGCACCCAGCAAGGCCAAATTTAGTGCTAAGTCTCACCTTTTGGAGCTTTTCGTGAGAGAGCTACTTTGTGGACTTTTAAGGGACAAGGTAGAGGAAATTTTACCTCTTTCCTTGAGGACTCTGCCCCAAGCAATACAAGGTCAGATGGAGCAAAGGGAGAGGAGAAGGTGAGGGCTAAACCTTCCTCTCTGTGGCTGTGACCTTCCCCAGGAGCTGGGCAGGGTCGCAGGCCTGCTCCAGCAACCCTCCTCTCCACAAGGCTTCAGGAATTGCTCCCTGTTTACCTGCCCTGTGAGCATCTCCACCAGGCTCCATCCCTGGCAGCTGGGGGCACGTCACAGGTGGGAGAGCAGGAGCCTGGCACGTCCCAGGGGATGTGCAAAGTAGCCACAGCTGGTTTGGGAGGGGGAAAATATCATGCATTTAATGAGCTCTTCAAGAAGAGGAAGAGAGTCTGGAGAAGGGGGAAGTTTACAGACAGAAATGGAGATCTGGAGGCCAGAGGATGGCGATGGACCCAACCAGCTTTGGGGAAAACTGTCACCAGAGGTTTTGGCTCACTACCTGCTTCTTTCTACCTCGTTTCTTGGCTCTGTAAGTGGCAGATCCCTTTCTAGGTGCTGGGGTTTGGAGAAAGAACATCACTACACGTGACTCAAGTCACGTAGGGTGTGGCTTCAGTTCTTGCAGCCACAGGAAGGTGAGACGTGACCTTCTCCCTGCAGTGCTTCGGCAATGATGATTGCCAAGGCCTCTGCTCCCCTTTAGAAATGCCTTCTGCGTGATTTTTCAGGACCAGGAGGAGGGTTTTGTTGGCTGGGCTGTCCTGCTGCCAGGCTGGGAGGCTCACCCGCCCCGAGGCACCGCGCCGGTGCCAGCCGGGGTTTGCTCGGTCGCCGTGTCCAGAGGCTCAAAGGGCTCGCACTAAACTACTGGATAAAAAAAAAAAAAATGCACCTAGATTTATTGAGCTAAAGTTCTGTAAGATGATGCAGAAGAGGCAGCCCCTGGCTCTGAGCATGCTGGGAGGACGGACCGGGGAGGCCATTTCCCAGGGCCATGCTGGGAGGGGGTGCCGGGGCGGCCTCCCCTCGAGCACACCGAGCACGCCGCTCTCCTCCCGGTCCCTCCTCCCTCCCCACGTGTGCAGGGCAGGGCAGTGCCCCAGAAAAGAGACCAAAGTGTTCCCTGGACATTGCTGCATGATGGAGTGTTGGTGCCGGGGGTGAGAGGCAGACACGGGCAGGAGGCCATGGGATGGGGAGAGAGATGGAGACACGGACTGAGAGAGAGAAAAAAGAGTGATGGAGAGCTGCAGGCAGGCGGGACACGAGGGCTGTCTCGCTGCAAGGGCCCTGGCTCTTAGCCAGAGGCGTTGATGTACAGCTGGCTCTTGAGGATGTAGTCGATGACGGGCTGGCAGAGGTAATCCACGACGTGTCCATCCCCGTGCTGCAGGGCCAGTCTGGGGGCACGGGGGGAGAGAAAGGGGTCAGAGCCCACCTGGATGGGTCAGGTGTCCGTGTGAGGACAGTGGAGGGGCTGGCTGGGGGCACCCTGCTGTTCCCCATCTCCCCTGGCATCACCCACCTGCTTTTGGTGGAGCTGACGACCGACATGGGGTGGTTCAAGTCATCCTTCACCACCAGGATGTTGTTCTGCAGGGGAAGGAGGGAAAAGAGGGGTGAAGGGATGGCTGGAAAGCGGGTGTCTGCCTCCACCAGCCTCTCCTCCCTGCTGGCCTTGGGGAGTGGCTGTGTGGTGGCTCATCCCACCCAACCGCTGAGAGCATCTGACCCCGAGACATTTTGTGCCCTGTGGCAGAAGTGCTCTCCTGGGTAGGGACAGGCTGTGGGTCCTCTCCCAGCCACGTGTGCATCCACTCACTTTGTACTTGCGGAGGATGGAGGAGTGGTTCATGATCCGGTCGGGATCTGCTCCATCCCGGGGCACCACCACGATCCCGAACTCCCCGACGATCACCTCCATCTAGGAGCAACCCAAAGTGTGGAGAGCTTTATAATCACCCTGCACAAAACCTGCCACCCCCCCCCTCCCGACTCTGGGAAAGCTGGGCCGTGGTCTGGATGGAGATGGAAAGTGAGTTTGAGGATATGTCAGCAGCCTTTGGCAGAAACATGGAATTGTCCAGGCAAGTGGTCTGCAGTGGATGAAATAAAAGGCACGGGGTTAAATCCTATTACTGGGTGGTGAATTCAGGCTTCAAGGAGAACTCGTGGTAGAAGGAGGTGGCAGCAGAAGAGGTTGCCTGAGGAGGAGATTTCTGCATCCTTTGTGCTGGGCTTCAGGACTTGCCTCATCTCAGCTTTTCCAGCCTTTCAGAGGAGACACCTGCCAGCTTCACAACTGCTTTACAAAATTTAGGCCTGAAGATGAGATGACTGAATTTAGAAATGGTTCAGAGGTTTGAGGAGGGAGGTTTGTGCTGACTGCCTGATCCCAGTGAAGAGCCAGGGGAGACCCCATAGCCAGCACTGCTCTGGAGCAGCATGGGGGTGGTTAACCCATCCTCTCTCCAGGGCTGGTGTTCTCCCGTGAAGATGCGGCTTCTTCAGGCAAGCACCAACAGTAAAAGCTGTAGATTTGGCTCTAAATATGTTTAATTTCTAATGTCTGGGCAACTTCTGTAAAAATCTTACTCCCTACCTGCACACCTCACTCTGCTGGGATTGGCATCTACTCGATTCTGGCTCCTTCTGAGCAGAAACACAGCCTTGGGATGGGCTCACCCTGCATCCCAGATTACACCCTCTGCGTGGGCAGGGAGTGGGAGCAGGGCTTGAGTCTGTGGAAGTCCTGTGGAAGTGTGTAGGGGAGGTGTGAGGGTCAGGGTTGGGGAGGAGGAGGCAGCAGGGCTGGTGGGCACAGCTCCCGTGGGGAGCTGAGTGGCTCCCCAGAGCACCGCCTGTGGGAAGCGGAGGAGGAGGAGGAGGAGGAAGGGAGCCTGGGGAAGAGGAGCACGGAGGGATGCCCAGCAGTGGTGACTCACATCTGCCTCGTTCCAGAGACCAGGGATGCAGAAGGACTCCAGCAGGTCGCTGCCACAGAGCAGTAAGATGCGAAGCTCTGGAGAGAAGGAGAGAAGCTCAGAGGTGCCTCCCTGTTTGGCATTTCCAGGTAGCCAAAGCCTCTGAGCTGGGGGTGGTGGAGGTGCTGGGATGGCTGTAGTGCCAGGTTGTGTGTGAGTTTGCCTGTGAAATGGGTCTCAAGGCCACCAGCAAGCTCCCCACACAGAGGGGGGATGCATGTATCACATACTGGGTGATGGATGGTGGGGCCACCAGTGGGGGAGCCGGGTGGGCCTAAAACCCTTTCAAGGGCTTTAGAGGAAGGGGCAGCTGAAATCTCTCCTGCTGCCATTCAAGGCTTCTCAGGGCTGCAGGCATTGCCAGGGTGGAGTGACACCACCATGGGAGGGCAAGTTTGGTGGCACTTGGGGTGACTGTCAGGGCATGGCAGGATGCCTGCACCAGGGGCCGTGTCCCCACTGCTCCCTCCCTTATTTCAGCTGCTGTCTGTCCACAGGGCAGGACTCAGCACAGTTAGGCACTGCTCCTGTTTCACCCCTGAGCCTCAGTAGCTGGCACCAGGGTGAGGTGATCCTGTACCCTTCACTTGTTACTGGATCTGTTGTCCCAGTGGCTCCTGAGCCCCAGGGTGCTGGCCCAGGGGAGCTGGGGGGCTGCGCACTCACCGATCTCCTCATATCTCATCACTGTCCCCAGGTTGGCATTTTCATCTGAGAAAGGGAAGAAAAAGAGGGGTGCTGGTGCCTCTGGCCTGGCACAGGGGGCTGGGAGGAAGGCTGGCAGCTGGATTGATACTGGACCTTTCCTCTACGTACCCACAAAGGTGAAGCGCTCCATGGGCGGGCGAACGCAGCAGATCCGGCTCAGGCTTTCTCCCACCTTCCCCAGGATCTTTGCTAAAGGTGAAGGCAAATTAATTGGGAGGGAGGTGGTGCAATTAACCCATACAAGCTCTTCAGCCACCCTGGTTCTGCAAGATGCTCCTGTGCAGGAACCGCTCCCAGCGCCTCCCCGCCACCTCCTGTCATGGTCTTAACTCCCCAGAGTGCTACCCTGTGCCTTGAAGGGACCAGCTGGATTTTAGCTGGACAGCTAAAATCACTAAGAAAATCACAAGATGTCCATTTTTATGGGACTTAAGTAATGCTCCCTCTTCTCCCTAGCTCGTACTTCCACGTCCCATATCCCACTGGTTCCCTATCCCATCTGGCTCCGTCACCTCTCCTGCTAGTTCTTCCCTTGCATGCACCCTGTGGGTACCAGACACCTTTTCCTTTAGCTGCTCTCACTGCCTGGACATCATCCAGCTGAAGCCCATTGAGATTTTACAGCCATTTTAAGCTGTTCCTGGCTCCTCTGGCTGTGATGGATGGTAACTTCACCACTGCAACTCCACCCCACCCCGGGCTTGGTGCACAGAGCCAGATGAGCCGCCTGTCCAAAGCCAAGGTGATGGAGCCCTGATCCTAATGCTTGGCAGCCCTGGCTGGGAGGTGAGGGGTCAGTAACCACCCCCCTCTTCCCTGCCCTGATGCCACCTACCCGCAGTGGGCTTGTTGGAGATGTTGTTGTTGTTCTGGTAGATGTTCTGCGAGGACTCATTCTGGGGCTGGCCGATCACAGGGGTGATGGAGGGCGTGTTGACATTGGAGAGGATGCATCCAGTCACTCTCTGCAACGAGGGAGAGACGTAGCTGGAACAGTGCCTTCACCCCAGCAACCTCCCAAAACCTTTCTGTCCCCATATCAAGCCTCCCCACCCTTGGCTCAAGGTCATCTTCAGTGACAGGTATGTCCAAGCTCGCTTTGGGATCCCCATTCCCACAAGCCCAGGGCCAGCAGGACCCTGTGGATAATGACTTGTGATTGAGGTAGCGTTCACTTTTTGTGTGGAGCCACGAGGCTGGCAAGGAGCAAACATGTCCTCTTCTCCCTCCCAGTCCCTGCAGGAGAAGGAAAGCACGGGCAGCGACTCCCTGGCTTCAGCATCACAGTCCTTGGATGCACTGGACATTCTGCTGGGCTTGTAAACGCTGTGCCTCCTGTCTGGGCTGCCTGTAACTTTGTGTGATGCTCTTTCATCCGTTTCCCATCTTTGGTTTTCTTGCTGTATCCAAGTGTGCCAGCAGCCCTGCTTCCCTGCAGTCACCAGAGGGCAGCCACCTTTTCCCGCTGCTCTCAGGCCTGCCTGGGTTTTGAAGGGACTTTTCCTCCCAGGGGTTTGTGCTCCCAGGGACTTCCCAGGAGCTGAATTTTCCTGCTGAGTCCCTCCATCAGGTTCATTCAGTAGTTTTGGCTCAGCTGGTGAGTGGGGAGGCCCATCCACCTGCCCTTCCCCTCGGAGAGGAGCAAGCAGGCAGCATTAATGATTTGGCTTGTGCCCATCCCTGCCTTCACTCTGCCTTCACCCCTGCTCCCCTCCTGGTGTTCCTGGGTCCGGGATGGCTGCTGGCTCCAGCTGGAGGGCTCACTTTCCTTCCAGCATCAGGGCAAGGAGCTCAAAGCGGCTGTGACAAGGAATCTTGCACCTCTTCCAGGTCAGGATCTCACAGATGTTCCTGCAAATCTTCTCTCAGCCGTGTTCTAGTTATCCCCACGCTGGGGGACGAGTAGCCCCACTCCTGCACCCTGCCCACGCCCTCCCCCCTGGGTGCACCCCCGGGGTGGGGGCTGCCTCACCTTCATCAGGTCACGGTGGTGCTCCAGCACACTGCAGGTGGTCTGCCAGGTGTCCTGGTAGCACTCCCAGGGGTCCACCCTGCGGGGACACAGCAAGGCAACAGCGTGGGCTGATGGCCCCCAGACCTCCTGGCCCAGCCACCTCCTCCCCACCGGGCTGGCCAGCGGTGCCACGAGCAGCCCCCGTCACTCCACAGGTGTGCCTTCCTCCAGCCCTTCCACCCAGCCCCTCCCAACAGCTCTGGGCACCTGGATGTGTGCCTGGACACTTTCTCCTCTTGCCACAGCAGGGTGGGCTCTGCCACTCACCTGATCCAGTCGGAGGACTGGACAGCCAGCTGGCACATGGTCAGGCGGTGCCGGCTCGAGACCAGACCCTGCAAGAGAGGGTGATGGAGGGACAGTTACGTCACACCCTGGCCAGCCTGGCCTTGCAAACCTTCCTGGGGCACAACATCAGTCTTGCTCAGGTGAGACAGGCCAGGAGGACTCGTTCCTGCCCACAAACATTTATTTAAGCTCCTGTTTGCTGGAAGGGAGGAGTTCCTGCTGGGCCTCAGCCCTGGCTACGCAGCGGGCGGTGAGATTTGCTCAGCATCTCCACTCCCAGCTCTGGGCTGCAGCAGAGCCAGAGCCGGGGGGGTGGTTTCTTGATTAAATTTCTCCAGCTTTCAGGAGAGGAGGAAACTCTCCACTCCTAATTTGGAAAGTGCTTCTAAGGACCACTGTTTGCACAATTTCCATCCCAGCAAAAAACAAACAAACAAACAAACAAACAAAAATTGACTTTGAAATAATTCAAACAAAACAAAACAAAAAACACTACCCAGCAATATGGCCACCACTGTTTCGGGTGAGAACACTTCTCTTTGCTGTCTAGTGCTTTGGTTGGTCGCAGGGCCTCGCTGCAGTTTTTATCTAAAGAGCAAGTGGTTTCATCCTCTCCCTCCTCTCCGAGACTCTCCCGTGGCTGGGAGCTGCCCCAGGCAGAAGATGGATGTGAAGGGACCACAGTGCTGCCCAGTGCTCACCCCTGCTTCCAGAGACACCATTGCACACAGGAGGCAGAAAGGGAAAGGGGGACAACCCACCGTCTTCCCATAGGAGTCGTGCACGGGCGAGACGATGCCCCCGATGACGATGAAGCGGCCGGTCTTGTGCAGGTAATCCCGGGCTCGCTCTGCAGGGGGAGGACAAGGAAAAAGGTGCGGGGGGGGGGGGGGGGTGTTTTAGCTGGACCCACCGAGCGCTGCAACACCCTGGCACCCACTAGCCGTGCCCCAGCCAGTCCCCTCAGCAGCCCCACGGCTCTCACACCGCTCCCTGCCTGTGCCACAGCACCGTGTGCTGCCCACGCCCGACAGGCTCGCCAGGGTCCCTCCGAGCCTGATGCCCATTTCTCAGGCTGGCATTTCCAAAAGGTGACACCTGAGGATAAAAACACGGGGGAAGGGTTGCTAAATTCGCATCATCGCCTACGTGCCCACCCCAGCTGTTGAGACAGTAGCAAGGAAAAAGGAAGATGGGAAAGGTAAAAGCAAAAAGGGAGATAAGATTGATGAGTCATTAGAAAGTCATTAGAAAGAGCTTGCTCTTTTTTTTTTTTTTCCCCAAGCAGAGGATCTGTAAAATATTTTGCATTTGCAAAGAAAAGGAGTATTTCTGAAACTGAGGAGATTTTGGGATCTGTCAGCCATCCCAAAATGTCAGTGTGCATCACATCCTTCAGCCACCCTGCTCAGGGGCTGGCACTTCCCCAGCGGATGCGGAGAAGTCCTGCCTGAAGATGCAGCAGCAGTGGGGAGGCAGTTTCAGGGAGCCTTCCCTCCCCCTCTCCACCTGCACCCAGCCCCGGTGGTGCCTCTCCTCAGCTCCCATGCCCTCACTTCTGCTCTGCTTCAGGGCAAAAATTCACCTCTAAAATTATTTCAGAGCTCCCTTGCAATGGCTTGGGATGGATGAGGAGCACTCAGGGGAAGCGAGGGGGGCTGAGCAGGGCTGGGTTGTCTCAGGGACAGACTTTTTATTAGTGCCTGTAATATAGAGCCAGGAGTGATGGTTTTAAATCTAAAGAGGGTCAGGTTAGATCAGATACATGGAAGAAGTTTTTTACTCAGAGGGTGGGCAGGCCCTGGCAGGGGTTGCCCAGAGAAGCTGTGGCTGCCCCTGGATCCCTGGAAGTGTCCAAGGCCAGGTTGGATGGGGCTTGGAGCAACCTGGGCTGGTGGAAGGTGTCCCTACCAGGGCAGGGGGCTTGGAATTAGATGATCTTCCAGGTCCCTCCCAGCCCAAACCATTCCAGAATTCTGTGTCGCTTTGGCAAAATGAATATTTTTTTTTTTCTGAATTTTGACGTTTCTGCTGAGGAATATTGTTCTGCTATTGTGTCAGCGAAAAGTCAATTAAGGAAATATAATTGCCATGGACCTTTTTTCCCCCCCTCGAGGGTGATGAGCAGCCCCAGGCCTGTGTGACAGCCTGTAGATGATTTGCCAGCCTCAGTAAAACCTCTTCCTCAGACTCACCCAAAGTCCTCACCCTGGCTGCCTTCCCAGCTCTTGTGCCCTGGGTGCACCAGCCTCCAGAGAGGGAAAAGCAGGCTTAATCATCATTTGATAGGTGCAGGGAGTAAAATTCGATTGCCTGAATTAGATGTACCAAAATTATCCCTCCCCGCCCTCAAAATCCTGGGGGAGGATATGCAAAAAAGCACAGCATTCTTGGGTGAGGGTTTGTTTTTTTTTTCAGGGGCAGGGAGGACCCAAGATTTATTGGATCAGCACTTACCTTTATATTATAATGCAACTTAAAATGCAAGTTCAAATAAAAAGTAAATTCCCTATCGAAAAAAGGTGCCGTTGAGTTTTAAATGAACATGAGCGCATCCTTTCATTTTTCCTTGCTTTGCTCTGACTTGATTTTACTTGCCAAAAGAAGATTAAAAACACTGATCTGTTCATCTTCATGTATAAAGTTCTCTCTTAAGACAAGCTGAACAACTTACATGTAACCTGTGCTTCACGTTCTCAGGGGTGGCTGATGGTATTAATTTGCCTTGAGTCTTTGGTGGCTGTTCCCCAAAAGCATGTACAACTAAAACCTTGGAACCTGCATTTTCAAGACTTTGTTGTCTACCTCAGAAACAACAAACAGAAATTAAAACAGGTATGGAAAAAAAAGATAAATTTATGGGCCAGGAAATCCTTGCAAACGTGGGCTTTGAAGCAGCAGTGTGTTGTAGGGAATGGAGGCCTGGGCAGGAAAGGGAAGACCTGCTTTCTGGTCCTGCCTTGCCTGTGACTTGCAGGGCACGTTTTCACATCCATTCCCACTTGTTTTTGGGGGCAGAGCACGTCCCTTTGCTTGCAGGGCTGTGTCCATCGGGCGGCTCCGCTGTCTCGCCTGTTTGTGTAGCTGTCAGCTAAGCCAGACCTTCACAGCCATCCACTTCAAAGCTAAAGCCTTTCAAAAGATTGCATTTTCTCAAGTGACATGTCAAATCCTGTTTGGAGAGAAGCTGTGGTGCTAGTGGGGCTGGCACAGCACCAGGAGCAGCCGCCCTCACTGCCGGGATGGTGGCAGAGGATTCGGGGCGGGTGGCACCGTGGCTTCAGCGTGGCACAGGTGAGACACTGAGGTGCTGTAGCACGTCCAGAGAAAGGAGCTGAGCCAGGAAAGGGTCTGGAGCACAAGTCTGATGAGGAGCAGCTGGGGGAGATCAGTCTGGAGAAGAGGAGGGACCTTCTCGCTCTCTACAGCCCCCTGGCAGGAACCAGGTGGGGGTCAGGCTCTGCTCCCAGGGACCAAGGGACAGGACGAGAGGAAGTGGGTTTAGATTGAATATTAGGAAAAATTTCTTCACAGAAAGGGTTGTCAAGCCCTGGCACAGCTGCCCAGGGCAGTGGTGGAGTCCCCATCCCTGGAGGGATTTTAAAGCCATGCAGATGTGGCACCTGGGGACATGGCTTGGTGGTGGGCTTGGCAGTGCTGTGGGGATGGCTGTGACGTGGCTCTGTGTGAGGAGTTGGGCAGCAAGGGCAGGGAGACAGGATGGGGGTCACAGCTGGCACAGAAAGGGCAAAGTGGGTGAATCCCCTGCTGTCCTTGGGTCTCCCATCCTGGAAGGGGGGCTGTGCATGGCGTGAGGCCGAGCTGAGGAGCTTCACACCCAAGCACAGCATTGGTCATTCTTCTGGGTTTCTTGAAACAGGATTATAGTTTTGGTGGGTCATTGCTTTGAACTGCTGTGGCTGCTTTGATCTTGCAGTGCTTTCTCCAAGCCCCCAGTTCCATGTTATCAGAAAAGACCTCTTTTCACAAAATTTGCTGCGTCCCTCATACAAAACACGCTGCTTGTGGGTATCAGGTTCATGGTCTCCCTGCAGGCACCAAAGACTCTGCAGTAGCTTTGTACTCTGTCCTATTCATTGTCCTTGAGCTCAGCCTTCTGTCACGGCTTCCCAACCCTTTCCCAGCCCATTTCTTGCCTGTTGAACGCTTGTGACGTCCAGAGACCCACCCCCTCCGGTATTTTCATTTTTCTATGAGCACTTTATACCCTGCCCCACCAATGCAAGGATGTCGGCTTTGGAAGAGAAAAGCTCGTTCTTTTTCCAGTGTAAATTGTCTGTAATGCTCCAGGCGGCCTCGATGGCTTTTAAACCTTGCTGACATCAATAAACTCCCAGTGCTGGCCCCTGCCAAGACGTGCATTAGCCCACCAGCACTGCCCGTGTGATGGGAAGCTCTCAGCACCCCAGCTTTGGTGGCTGCTGGATGACCTCAGCCTGGCTGTGCTGGGGAAGGAGGGGACAGGGGTGACACCTGGACTCATCCCAAGCCCTGGTGACACCTCCCCGCTGCCCCAGCCCAGCTTTGCTTGCCTGCCCTGCAAAGGCACTTCAGATATTTTTGGCTCTGCTGCTTTCCTTGTGAGATGACGGTGGGGAAACACCAATCAGGGGATGCACTCCAGGGCTACAGAAAGGGTAAATGGGCACGTTGTCCAGACTGGATGAAAAAATAGCATCTTCCTTCCCCAGCTGGAAATCAGTCCTTATTTAGGAGATCTTTCTTTTGGAGGTTCTCCCCGAGTATATTCAATCACAACGTCTCAGCTCCTCTGGCGCTGCTCCATCACCTAAATTTACGCTAATGAAACCAAATATTCTTCATGTTCAATTTTTCAAGGTGCAATTTCAGATTTTATTTGCTTCGCCTTTGCAGTGGGGTCACCTGCACCTCCAAGACTTCCTTTTTCTTTTTCCTTTTTTTTTTTTTTTTTTTTTTTTTTTTTTTTTTTTTTTTTTTTTTTTTT